GATTTAGAATATCGATACAGTATCGGGAAATGAAATATCGCGATATTTCAGTGTATCGATATTTTCTTACACCCCTAGTTTTAACTTAATAAATTATCATTAAACTTGCATAAAACTAATTACATGACATTTAGTAATAGAAAGAGAATWATTGATGTTCCATTTAGAGTTGATGATGTTGAGATCTGCAGAGTCACTAACTGCGTTTCTGCGTTTCCATTGACCATGAAAATGCACAAATTAGAATTTCGAAAATAAATTTGCTCAATGGAAACACGTCAGTTTTGAAAAAAATTACGTTTTTCGACAAAAAGTTTTTGCGCTAGGATGAGGTGGTTTTTCAGCCGTATTGAAATTGGTGTTTTTCGCAAAACTGTAATGGAAACACTTTTTTTGCATCACGGGAGTCACGTGATCAACAACCGGCTGTTTCTATTGGTGAAAAAGACGAAGAAAAAGTTAACAGGAAGTAGAAGTAGTAGTAATATCACAGAAGTAGTATAAAGTAGTAAACTCACCGACCACAATTTCCCAAAAACACAGCATACGTAGCCGCTCCCAAGTAGGGACTTGTCGCTGGAAAGCCTCGATAAAAGACGCCGACGTCTCCTCTGATGATGAGCGCTAGTGTCGTGGTAGCAACATGCTATGTGTTTACATCCATCACCGCCATGTTTGTAATGACTTATTGCGAGAACAAACGTATTCACACGTGACTTTAATTGCATTTCTTACTTAACGGAAACACCGCAGTTACGAAACTGTTTTTTCAACATTAACAGAATATCGACAAAGTTTTGTGCACATTTGTAATGGAAACACAGCTAATGAGGTGAAGTTTCTGGGTGTTATCATTGATGAAAAGCTGACATGGATCATATAAATTATTTAAGAACAAAAATAGCTATTCTATCTAATCTATTACAGTATTGTAAAATAAGGGAGTTATTTAATGATAAAGCTCTGTTTATATTGTTTAAAACAATAACTGTTCCACACTTGATTGAAGTCTGAGGTAAACATGTAAAACAATCACAAATCCTGTTTTAATTTTACAGAAAAGAACCGTAAGAATTATCACCAGAAAACATTACAGTCACCCTTTGAATAAATAATTTTGTAAATTAAAACTATTCAAATTTTATGAGTTGGTTGATTATATCTTGCAGATTATGTATAAGGCTCATAATTATTTATTTTTTACCTTTAAACATGCAGTTATATTTTGTTAAGAGAGAAAGTTCTTCTAATCTTTAAGGACTTGATGTTTATTAAACCTAAAATTCGAACAAACTTGAAGTACTTCTGTTCAAGGAATAAGATTGTGGAATAATCTGGAAAGTGATTATAAAAATGCTGGTTTTCTTTAAGAGAATGATAAAAATAGGTTTGTTAAAGAAATATGAAATTGTTTAATATATATCAAACGTTGTTGTTTGAGAAGGAATTGAAGCTTTTATTTTGTTTTGTTTATTATTATTGGTTGAAATTATGGAAAAAGGGGCCGATATAAGATTTTTTTCTTCTTTCTGCCTCTCATTTCATTCCAATTGGGATTTGTATATTTTTTGTTGCGTATAAAGTGAAATTTTACATTTTACTTTTCCATATACCTTCAAAAAACTAGCTTTTATCTGTCTCTTTAAATATATACATAAATCTGGTATTTTTAACATCGTCCTCCAGACCATTGCACAATCCTACACCCTGGATTAATTAGTGACGGTTTGTCCATCATTAATAAATAAATGTTTGTCCCACTGGTGCTTTTTCTTTTTCATTGTAGTTTTTAATTTTCCACCTTGTCTCTCKCAGGCCGAGGCGAGGCTGGCGGCGAAAAGAGCAGCTCGAGCGGAGGCCAGAGACATCCGAATGAGGGAACTTGAGCGACAGCAAAAAGAGGTAAATAAATAAATAAATAAATCAGAAGATGATGGCCCTGCCGGCTGCCGTGTCGCAGTCCTTCCGTACGCCACAAGTGTATAAATAAAAGCGAAGATAAAACCAGAAGTTCTATTCCTGAAGTCTGCTTCAGCAGTTTTGGAGTAAATGATGATTTGATGTTTTTCCTGGCGTTTCCCCTCCTCTGTTCAGCTCTCTTACCGCTCCTTCAGCAGCAGCAGCAGAAAATGGGGTCACATCCACCAGTGGATGGTAGGGAACCAGAAAACGAGTGCTGGTGTTGCTGTTTGTGTTTTTTTTTCCACACTAACACTCGTGTGGGATGCACTTGACTCGCAGAGCGCTCTGTAGCTCACGCTGGAAATATGCCTGGACAGTGTTTGCTTTGGAGACATTGTGACGTGTGTGTGTTTGGAGAGCCGGCGTTGGCCTCAGGCTTTATATAGATCGGTTTAGTCTGCAAGCAGAAAAGGTGGTTTTGAATTTTTAAAGTCTTATAAACTTCAGCTTCCTGTGCTTGAGATTAATCTGTGTTTTCAGTGTGAAACATAAAACTTTGCTGTTTTATCAGAGCATTAAATGGTGCAGAAGTTGTCTCTTTTAACCCTCCTTCCTGATTCCAGGCTGACTCAGAAAAAGCCCGAGCCTCTAGTAGTAGTAAACCCAGCAGCCATCATCACCGGGTCTGTATCTTTCTCACATTTTTCCTTTTCCTGTCACTCATCCTTCCTCTCTTTAATGCTGCTCCGTACACTTCTTTCCTTTTGTTTCTTCCCTCTGGCTCCATGTTTCCACGTCAGCAGGGGCTGGATGACGACGTCACGTCGGTCCGCAGTTACAGGGTGTGTACGAAAGTCACAACCGTTAGCGTTACTGTTCAAGAGTCCTGCTCTCAATAAGGTTTTATTTTCATTTGAAGTCGACGTCATCRGGCATACGTGACCTGGGATCCATCAAGAGTCGGCCCAGTTCTCGTAAAAGGGACCCCCTGGTGCGTTGTGTGTGCATAAGTGTGGTAAATCGTCACTACATGCTTCGTTTTTTGTTTTGGATTTCTAAAATCTACAAGAAGCATGAAGTCGAAACAAACGAGACAAAGTTTTACGTTCATTTAATTAAAAAATGATCCTGTAATGCATGAGAGAAAAAAACACTTTGACTCGTTTTGAGTTACATGGAAATCTCATTTGACCAAAAATGCAGACATTTTAAGTAGTTTAAATTTAAAACCACAAATTTGTCTTTAACACCAGGTAAAAAAAAAAGCTTGACTAACATTGTGTGCTTTTATTTTTTTGTTTTTCTACTATAACGTTTTTCAGCTGGAAAATCTGAACTTCATTAAGGCCCTCTTCACACTAAATGTAATAAAATGTGCACAATAACAAAAAAGCCCTCAAGGTTTACTGTCCAGCAGTTAGCTTAGATGCTAACTTAACATTAGAAGAATCATAGAAAAGCTAACGTGATTAGCATCATGTTAATCATTCGAAGCTTTTACAAAAATAGTTATTAGTTAGTTATACGGTAGCTCCGCATCAGTTATAGCTGCTCCACATTAGTGTTAGCGCCACATTAGTGTTAGCTCCATGTTAGTAATAGCTTTACATCAGTTATAGCTGCTTTGCGTTAGTGTTAGCTTCACGTTAATGTTAGCTCCACGTTAGTTATAGCTCCACGTTGGTGTTAGCTCCGTACCAGTTAGCTCCGTGTTAATTATAGCTGCTTTGCGTTAGTGTTAGCTTCACGTTAATGTTAGCTGGACGTTAGTTATAGCTCCACGTTGGTGTTAGCTCCGCACCAGTTAGCTCCATGTTAATTATAGCTGCTTTGTGTTAGTGTTAGCTTCACGTTAATGTTAGCTCCACGTTAGTGTTAGCTCTGCACCAGTTAGCTCCAMGTTAATTATAGCGGCTTTGCTTTAGTGTTAGCTTCACGTTAATGTTAGCTCCACGTTAGTTATAGCTCCACGTTGGTGTTAGCGCCGCACCAGTTAGCTCCACGTTAATTATAGCTGCTTTGCGTWAGTGTTAGCACTGCATTAGTTATAGCTCCTTGTTAGTGTTGGCCCCTGTTAGCATTATTGTTCGTTCTGTGCCTCAGTGCCAAATATTAATCGGACAGTTTTTCTAACGAATAATTGCACACGATACAATTTTACCCAAACGTACTCTGAGATAATAGTTTGTTGTAAGTTATATTCAGTAAAAATATATCATCAGAGAGTGCTGCAGAACACTATCAGTACTTTGTAATGGTGTTTATTGTAACCAGCATGGGATGATGTGTTGCTGGAGGTTCTCAGGTGATTTTTAGATGTTCTGATCGTAACTCTTCTTCCTCCGGTCTCTCTTCAGTCCGACAGCCTCTCCACTAGCTCCCACCTGAAGAGTGCCCGTTCTACTGTATGTAGTCTTTGTGTTGATCGTTAACTTCCTCCTGTTTCATCTTTTCTGTTGTCATTTAATTTTTTTCCCCCTTTCTCTTGCATTTTGTGGGCTGAACAGAACTCTGTGTACAATGACCTTCAGGGCTATAAAAAAGCTTCRTCCTCAAAGAAGGGGTTGCTGGTCAGTCGACTGTCTTCATGTTATCGTTTGACTCAAAGCATGGCAGCAGCGTAGACTGAAGCAATGATAACTTTTTGGAAATCCTTTATAGAATAGAAAATAATTGTTACTACTCTTCTAGACTGGACTGTACCACGATCAAAGGAACTACACCAGCCTTTTGAAGACCAAACCGCCACCCCTGACCTCCACCTCCACCYATCAACCACGGGTTGGTCGTCCTATCAGGGCCACGCAGAGAAACTGGGGCTAGCTGATGAATATTTATGAGCTAAATAATTATAAAAAGGAATGCATGCCATGAAAACATTGAAGCAGAAAGACAAAACAATGGAGCAACACTTTGTACAATTAAGCCCCGCCCACTTTTGACAGAACTGCTTCGATAGTTTATAACATTGCTTTTTAGTGAATAAAACATTAGTTTGTCAGAGAAGCAGTTATTTATTGTCACTACTGATCGATTACCAGCATTTTGTATGAAAACCTTCATAAATATGGACTAAAGTTCGTCATTATTAACCTGCTTTATTTAGATATTTCAGCTGTCAGTTGGACTGAAGTCACAAATCTCTCCTGTTGTTACAGGTTTCTGTTCAGGAAAGCAAGCAAAAAGACAACTTTTATTTCCCTGCAGAATTCTGAAGGCTTTTAATTTTGTCACCAGTGGTTTTACGTTTTCCCGCTAAAWGGGTGTGTGGCCATTTAAAGTAGGAAGTGAAGTTGCTCCACTCTCTTCTCATGTAATGTTGCTCAGCCAAACTTAAAGATTATTATCTGCTCRGTCGTTTACCAAGCTGGCTTTAAAAACGCAGTCAGTCTCGTGTTCTCTAAATTTGACCAGATCAGCAAAACGTTCATCCTGTTTTCACGTTGGCCCCCGTTAATCTCTCGTCACCTCACATTCGGGCCGGTTTGCCTCTGTCCTGTAAAGTGACTCTTCCCTGCTCCCTTCCTGTCCCACAGGCCTCCTCTTCCTCCTCCTCCACCACCAGCACGGGGTTGCCTCGCAGCTACAGCATGGTCAGTTTCAGTGGCAGTTAGCATCACTGCTACCTTCAGAAGCAGTTGTGGTGGCCACACATGTGATAGGATGCCCAGATTTTGTGTTCCACGTTCTGTTAATCCGGTTTGAACATGACATCAAATGTTCCCTTTTTGTTTGCTGTTTTTATCGCTGAGTCATGCGTTGTCACCCACACTGTGCCCCCACCAGGCCTCTATTTATGACGACGCCGGTCTTTAYGGCTCAGGCAGCAGTTCAAGAGCTGTAAGTCCTCCCAACGTTTTGCCGCAGCGGTTATTGCGTCCCCGTCCCGCCGCGGCTAACCGTGTGTCCTCCCTCCATCCACAGCCCTCTGAATACAGCTGGTACTCCTCAGGAGCCAGCTCCACTCGCAGCAGCCCTGCGGTGAGCACCGTAACCCCACCGCCACTCTGCACGACCGCTCACCGCTCGCTCCCTCTCATTATCAGTCTATAAAAGGGTGGTACTCACTCATACCTGTGGCTAAAACTGTGGCTCTACTGTCCAGTTTGTGATTTGGGACTTTGCTCTGTACGTCTATGAAGCCTGAGATTTTGCAGTGAGGTTTTTATTAGTTTTGACTTGCAATAAAGGAACATTGATTTGCATGAACTGGCTTTGCTTACAGGGGAACTATCTTTTTGATTATTTTATTCAATTGCGTTGACTAAAACAACCTAWATTTGTTTTATATGCATGCCCCCCAGCTTTTTAACACCATATAACCAAAACTGCAGGAGAGCAGAACAATATGTGCAAACACTTCACATTCCATCAAAATACCAACAGATTTAGGTAAATTATCTTTGATTTATTTTATTATTTTTATAAAGTTTATTCATGTAAAACAAAACATAAATTCAACAT